AGTGAGGTGGCGGCTAATGTTGGTGGCGATTCCTTGGCGGCGACGGCAAGACAACGGCGGCGGTGGCGGCGGCGCGCACGCGCTGCCATGGCGGACGGCGGCGCCCACAGAAGGAAGGGAGGAGAGAGGAGGCGGCTGAGCTGAGGCTGGGCCGACTTGGGCTGCATGAATGAGAGGAGTAAAAAGGGGAATTCGGCCCAATCTTAAAAGGAAGAAAGTCTAAGGTTTGAATAAATTGGATTTAGAGAAGTATTTGTGTTTGAAGGGAATTTAGATAGCTAGGCCTCAGAAAGGATTTGAATTCGGAGAGATTTATGTGCGGAGATGAATTTCAAAGTAAAGATGTTCTAATTTGTTTGAGTGCAATATTTTGGAGTGGGAGTTTGTTTAATGCACTTAAATAGGAACCATAAATAATATGGCTCTGTATTTCTGGAAATGTGGTAGGAAAAATAAAGAGAGGGAATAAATAGGATTTTATCCCCACAAATGGGTGGTATGGGTTTAAAGAAATATTTTGTGGCTAATAGGAGATTTGCATGAGGATAAAATCTATTTTCTTAGCACAAGAGCAATTATTCACAATATTTGTAATAATACTGTTCTTGTGACGAAGAGGAAATCAAGCCACATGAATTAAATTGGCGGCTAGATCAGAAGGAGGAATTTGGATATTTAGATCGAACATCAAAGTATAGGTTTAAGATCAAAGGATAGGTTAACAATTAATTCCAACGGAATCGGAATTACGACGGTTTAGGTTCAAGGGCAATATGGGAAGGTTTCTTGGACCATAATTCATAAAAGGGTTTTTAATTAAATTGAGAAAAAGGAATTTTGCAAAAGAAGGTTTAAGGTGCAGAATCAAATCAAAGCAAATACCTTGGTTTAATAAAATCAATTTTAGAATACAAACCACGAAAGATTTTAAATAATAGAGAGAGATTCTACGCAAGTTAATATTTGGAAGTCTCTCTAAATATATTTTCCTAGGTTTAAAAGGTTATTAAGAACATAAGAATCAGCATGATGCAATATTAGAAAATAGTGAATTTTCAGGATGTTACAGACGGTGGGGGTGAGGAGGAAGAAGCTGAGAAAAAAGTCTAGTGGTATTTCTGTCCGAGATTGTACTGTAGCAAACAAACCCAAGATGAATGTGATATTTTATCGAAGCCCATTGAACTGATGGTATTCCAATGAAACCATTTTTTTATGGCATAATCCTAATTTTCTCTAGGTTTAGGGTGGTGGGTATGGGCAATGAAGGCCATTTGGATTGCCAGGATAGGAAAAGTTACTACTCCCTCCGTTCCAAAATAAGTGTAGTTTTAGCACTGTTCATGTTCAACGTTTGACCGTTCGTCTTATTTGAAAAAATATTATGATTAGTATTTTTGTTGTTATTAGATGATAAAACATGAATAGTAATTTATGTGTGACTAATTTTTTTTTAATATTTTTCATAAATTTTTCAAATAAGACGGATGGTCAAAGCGCTAAACACGGATATCTATGGCTGCACTTATTTTGGGACGGAGGTAGTAGATTTTTTCGTTGGAGATTTGACTAGAGAAATGGCATGCAATTCGAATAGAGAGCTTGTTGGAGTGGTGTTCTTATTATTTGGGATAGAGAGTGGGATGGCAAGACGGTTGGAGGTGTTCTAATGTTTGTTGCCTGTATAAAACCTTGAACGTGGGAGACGGAATGTCCTCTTGCAAGTTGCAATTTTGTATGCTGTACAAATATATTTGGTTAAGATCTTGTTTGGTTAATCCCGACCACAAGAGAATCAAGAGGAATTTGTATGGGATTTATTCAATACCTATTTGGTTAATCCATTTAATCACTCCTTTAGTATTAACCTAACAAGCCTAACGCCTAAGGCCTAAGAAGAAATACAATGCTAGCCAGGTAAAATATCATGCTAAATCAGTTTGCCCAAAAATCATGTTATTGCAATAAACAATATTCTACCATTTTTTTTTGAAGCGATGGGTCTGTTCATATGATGCGACTACACAATCATTTACAAATATATTGAAAAAATGGATGGCATTTTGCCTAAGAAGGAAAAGAAGCAACTGTTTCTACGAGAAAAACTACATATAGAACATAAACAATTTACTAGTATGAGATTTATTGTTCCAAAATGCAAACATGAATGGAAAAAAGCCTGGAATTACTTAAGTGTGTGTTTAGTTTGGGGATGAAGTTTGATGGATTAGGTTCGTCCTATTTCTATTTTTTTTGGGATTGGATGATTCCATCTACATCTACGTGCTTGACATAAAGGTTATAATGATCCTACTTTTTTAAGGGTTGGAAGGATGTGGTCCATACATCAATGAGAGAGAAAATTAGTTGGATTGGTCCATCTGTGTTTGGTTCACGGTCATGCATGGATAGGATATGGCCATCCATATTTTGTTGGATATAGCGATCTAATTTTTTGTTTGGTTTGTATGGATATGGCGATCCGATTTCTTGTTTGGTCGGAGGGATATAGCATGGATGGAAAAAGCCAAAAGTTAGTGGGACCCATTTGTCATATATATTTTTTTATCAAAATATAATCATTCGAGATCTTGTTTTAAAGATTTAATTGTAACAAATATAATGGTGTAATCAAATCATAAATTAGATAAACAGTTTAGGAGAAAAAAAATCATTTGGAGCTTACTTAACAGAAAATCAAACCAACAACAGCCAATCAGAATAGGACACATCACCCAGACCAAAACTGGATGGATTCATCTAGCCAAATCGGCCTGATGCACTCATCCAGCATATTGAGGGAATATTCCCTATTCTGGGCCGCCTCATCCACCCTGCCCTCCAATCAAACACTACAAAAAACCGGACGGCCATCTCCTATCCAGTCTCATCCACCCAACCAAACACACCCTATCTAGAGAGAATATTTCATTCTAGAGATCATGACTTCTTACCTATCTTCAAGCTAAACACCCTGAAAAGTTCTCCCCATCTAGACCTATTCCATTCCTCCAATCAAACACATGCTAACATTCACTCTGAGTCTAGCTTGGGTGATGCCATTGCTAACTCCATGATGCCTTATCATACCATATGTTCCTATCATGATAATAGAAAAAATGATTGAAGAGATTCACCTATTGACATTCCGAACTTCGTAAAGCACATCTAGTACTCCTACTTAGGGTTTAGGGTATCACTCAGAACCACATATTAAAGGCTAGCAAAAAAAATTACCACTTATTTCTGAATTGTTTTATTTGGTTGTCTTGGAGACAAAATTTTGGGATAGAGTTTTGGATATCTTTTAGGTTGAGTTTTTTTTATTTCACTTTCCTAACTCCACCTCCCGAACGCAGAATTAGTGATGCTCTGAGACCAATGTGTTAGGTTAGTACTAAAGTGGAACCAATCCCTTATTTTGAAACTTTAGATTACTAAAGTTGCTGAGAGCATCACTAGCAGTACCCTACTCCGTCTCCGATCCTATTTTTTTTCAGGATTTTTGATGAAAAAACTGCTTCAACTGTTCCCTACGCTTCCTCTCAAAAATCAGTACTCCATTCTACTTCACTCTCGCTCTCCAAAAGTTGGGAATCGTTCTCGCTCCCAATTTCCGTCACTTGAGTGAGAATGCCATCCGAGAAAAGGGGTAAGCGGAAGGGCGTTGACACTAGATGATATGATCTTGATAAGTTGCGGGTAAAGGGAGGCATACCTTTTTATTTTTATATTTTAGGGAGTTAAATATAAGCCATCTATTGGAAGGAAGTATATACCTATACAAGTTATCCCCACCTACTAATCTCCTGCACTGTGGTTGCTCCACGTCATCAAGTTGATCACACCCATTCGATCATAAGAGACATCTTGACCATACTCTCACAATGGCCAATTACAGTACTACTAGGGGCAGTAGAATAAAAACCACTTCAAACAAAACGCCAGGCAAAAAAAAAAAAACACCAATTCTCAAGAGTGGATTTTAAACTCTAGAGGGAACATGTATATCACTCGAATAATTATGAAAAAATTTCAAAACAATTAAGAAATTGTATTAACATGTAGTATACCACTCCAAAAGCATGCAAGTTATAATTTAACTTTTATAAGTAAAACACATATAAAAGAGTAGCAAATTAACTACAACTAGTTAACATATATTCACATTAAATTTATTTTTTTCGTTGCAACATATAAAAAATTAAATTTAACTTTACATGTTTATGAAGTTATAATTATTTTCATAACTAAGTGTCATACAAATAACGAGATGACGTCTCGAGTTCTTCCTGCAGCCAGGTTTTGAAATTTCGGTTCGAAATTTCCGAAATTTTGCCCCCCCCCCCCCCGAAATGCTCACATCTCGTCCGAAATTTTCGGTTTTTTGCAATTTTTTTGTGTATTTGGTCAAAATTTTATTTAAAATCAGCAAAATTTCAAAAATTTCGTAAAAAAAATCCGAAATCGGTTCTTTCGCCCACCTGCAGCAGAAATCTTGGGCTGTGTTTAGATACAAACAACTTTCAGCTTTGAAAAGAACTAAACACAGCCTTAGTTTGGAACCCTGCCTGCTGCAAAATTATAATATATGTTTCGAAATTTCAAACCCAGCCTGTTGTCGTCCTGTACTGTACTCCTGTGCATTGTCTGGATGGGCAACTTTTTCATAGCGAGGCGAGTCGTCGTGTGCGTGCGTGTGCTGGCTCGTCTCGTCTTGTTCGGACATGACAAGAACAGAACTGACCAAAAATGGACTGGACGCATCAGATGAGGGAGGTCCGAGTATGCAGGCGGCTGTTATGCAAACAGCCTAACAGCTTAAACAAAATGCTGGAAACACTGTTGCTTGGCTTGGATTTTGCTAAACATATGTTATGATTTTGCTACACACTTCGTCCTTGTTCATTTTGATTTGTTGTAATTTGAGACCGTAAGGCGATTAATCAGGACGGGAAGAAAAACCACTGAACCATAAAAGACCAGACTAAAACCAGATCTTGATGCAACCAGGTTCATCAGATAGATTCATCATTCATTTATAATTTATAAATTTACCCCCATTCTTCTACGGGAAATTTAACTATTTGCCACTCTTGTGACATGTCAATTAACGATTTACCACACCTTGTCAATGACATGTGGGCCCTCATGTGTTTATGACACGTGGGCTTAGTGGCAAATCGTTAAGCACCACTCGTAAGAGTGGTAAATAGTTAAAAGCCCCTTCTTCTACAGACAGAAGAAGCACTTTCTTCTTGAGCTCTCATACAGCAACCAAATCTAGACAAAATCAAAGAATCCCCAAATCCTCCCCCCAAGTTCCTAAAGCCCCAAGCGAACGCCATCTTCTCAGAACCCGGCCACCGCCGCGCCGAGGAGGGCGGCGGCAACGAGCACGGCGCCGCTCGCCGCGGTCCTCCCGGCGTTCCCAGTCGCCGGCGCTGGGGCGGGGGCCTGGAAGAGGCCGGCGGCCAGCGGGGACTGCGCGGGGGCCGGCACGGGCGCGAAGAACCCCTGGCCGCGGCGGCTGTGCTTCTCCGACATGACGAGGACGATGACGCGCTCGCCCTTGTCGCAGCTCCCCGGCGCGGCGCCGACGAAGAAGTGGTACCCGGAGCTCGTCAGCGGCACCGTGGCGGCGCCGCCGGTGGGCTTGTGGGTGGCGACCGGGCTCCCCGTGCCGCAGTGGTTGTAGTCGTCCCGCGTCACCTCCAGCACCGCGTCCGCCGCGCCGTCGAACTTGAACACTGCGCCAGCCCAACCAGAGAAGGAGAAGAAATCAGAACAAATCAAGAAACAGAGGAATCCAAGAAACACTGAGGAAGGAATCGAGCTTTGTTGACTCACCGAGGTTGTCGCCGATGTGGAAGCGGGTGGCCTCGGCCCACCTGTTGAGCGCGTCGGGCTGCGCCGGCACCTTCCACCCGCCGCCGTTGTTGCCGCCGACCACGAGGTCCCTGGCGTTCGCCACGGCCACGGCCGCCGCGAAGGCCAGCGCGGCGCAGAGCACGGTAGCCAACACCTTCGCCATCGAAGTAGGGTGGGAGGACTAGCAAAAGTAGAACACGAGAGCACGAGAGGAGGGAAACAGGGGAACGAGGAGGAGGAGATGATGCTGTGGCGGCCATGGGAGGCGGATATAAATAGGGTGGTGGAGTGGAGGTAGCCGTTGGGGTATTCGAACGTTCGGGAGGGGAGGCAGTAGAGTAGCATCGGGTGCCGCGAAGACGCGTGGCGACAGCATTCACTGGCATTGGGATGGGATGGGATGGGATGGGATGGGATGGGAGGAGTGGCAGGCTGTTGCTGGCTTGCTGCTGCTGCTTCTCAGCACTGGGAAAGGATGCTTCTGTTTTGGACCTTACCGTTGCTGTTTTGGCCTTTTGAGGAGGCACTGGGCTGGATGGGATGGCACTGTTCTGGTGTAGGGCTGTCACCTATGGCCCGTGGGGCTGGGGAGGCTTGGGACCAGTGGAGTGGGGTCCACAGGGAAGTGAGTGAGAATTGTGTGAACCTTGGAGTTAATATTCCTCCTGGAAGAAGTGTTTGTGTTGTGGCAATAAAATTATCATTTTTTTTAAAAAAAAAGTCACATGAATCGAGTGGACTGTTGGGTTCAGCCTCGTTATCAAAACCCTCACCAAATTAGACCCTGTTTAGATGGGACTAAAACTTTTGTTCCTATCACATCGGATGTTTGGACACTAATTATAAATATTAAACGTAGACTATTAATAAAATACATCCATAATCTTGGACTAATTCGCGAGACGAATCTATTAAGCCTAATTAATCCATGACTAGCCTATGTGATGCTACAGTAAACATTCTCTAATTATGGATTAATTAGGCTTTAAAATTTTGTCTCATAAATTAGCTTTCATTTATGTAATTAGTTTTGTAAGTAGTCTATATTTAATACTTTAAATTAGTGTTTAAATAGAGAGACTAAAGTTAAGTCCCTGGATCCAAACACCACCTTAATCTACGTCACGTCAACCTATGTGATCCTGAACAATTAAGACATGTTTGATAGAGTTCTAACTCTAAAAATTAAGTCTTTCTAAATCAAGCTTCACCTCTTGAGTTTATTTTGTGAGAGCACTTTAGTCCACTCTATTTTTTTTTATTGTTGGAGCTAAAACTTTTTGTTTGGACTTCCAACTTTAGAAGAGATGGAGTTGGAGCTGAAGATCCAAACATGCCCTTGATTTGGTTTGATTTTGCTTGTAGATGATCAAGGCGTCGATGTTGGATGAGATCATCGATCGGCTACGTCAAGTTCTTGCTAGAGGCGGAAATTTCCCTGTTGGGGTCGGAGACCCACCCTAAGGGCCGGGATCGGGGGATAAGGGGGTGTTCAGTTGGGACTAAAACTTTTTAGCCCATGTCACATCGGATGTTTGGACGCTAATTTAGAGTATTAAACATAGACTAATAAAAAAAACTAATTTCATAAATGAGAGCTAATCCGCGAGACGATTTTTTTAAGCCTAATTAATCCATAATTATCAAAACTTTACTGTAGCATCACATTGTCAAAATCATGGCGTAATTAGATTCAAAAGATTCGTCTCGCGAATTAGTCTAAGCTTATGAAATGGGTTTTATAATTAATGTATGTTTAATACTCCAAATTAGTGTCCAAATATCCGATGTGACAGGTACTTGGAATAAGTCCTGGAAACCAAACAGCCCCCTAATTATCACCCGTGGGTGAACGGGGGCGAGCCGACCGCACCCTTCATCTCCCACCAATCGCTATTATTGCCTGTGAGTGAGGCACGCTGTGCGGGCCCCAGTGGTGCGGGTCATCAAAGAGGCCAGGGACGAGGCCCGGGTTCATCTCTTCTAGTAGGATGGGGCCGGGTGGACTCGCAGGGGGAGCAGGGTGGACCCGCACCTGTCTCGCCCCCTTGCCATACCTAGTTCTTGCAGCTCATCGATTGTGCGTTTTGATTTGAGCTCAGCTGATGCTGATGGCAGCTAAGGATCGATTAGACGTGTCATAGTGACTGCTTTGACACTGCAGGATCAGCAACCAGTGGCGAATCCATGATTTACATCAAGATGGGGCTAAAGCAAACTAGATATATCAGCACGATCAGCATTTCTCTATGAAACCCAAATACACTACGATAAACAAAGAGATAATCCATGAAATGCTATTGACAAACATCTAAGTCCCAGAAATACCATCGACAAGTGTGAGTTCTAAGAAATGCCATCGTACAAATGTTTTTGTCCCAAAAATGCCATCGCCGTTAGGGTTCCGTCCATTTCGCGTCGTTAAATTCTATAGGACGCAAATGTTTTTGTCCCAAAAATGCCATCGCCGTTAGGATTCCGTCCTATAGAATTTAACGGCGCGAAATGGACGGAACCCTAACGGCGATGGCATTTTTGTGACAAAAAAGTTTGCACGATGGCATTTCTTGGAACTCACACTTATCGATGGCATTTCCGGGACTTAGACGCTTGTCAATAGCATTTCATGGATTATCTCATAAACACAAGACGTTGTCTTCTTCATCGTAATTTGCACTGTATTAACATCTATCCAAAAAATTTATGAATAAAATGATATGGTATACTCCTTCCGTTCCATAAAAACTAACGTAATACTGGATGTGACACATTCTAGTACAGTACTACAAATTTGAACATTCATTGTACTAGAATATGTCACATCTAGCCCGAGCACTACTTAAAAAAGGCAAATAGATGTCGCCACTATAGGTGCCGGCACACAAAACACCGACACCTTTATGTCCAAATATGTGCCGGTTTTTAAATAAAACCGACAACTAAAACCTATGTCAGAGAAATGTGCCGGTTCTAGACCCAAAACCGGCACCTTTAATCTTCTCCCTCCCCCACTAGCCGTTGGCGGGCCCCATACATAGGTGCCGGTTCTCAACCCAAAACCGGCACCTTTGTTTCAATAGTGCTTTTATGAACGACGGTGGGCCCTACACAAGGGTACCGGTTCTTGGTATGACAAGACAAAGGTGTCGGTTCTCGACCAAAAACCGGCACCTTTAATATTCTCCCTCCCACACTAGCTGCTATGTCACATCCTGATTTTCGTTTTAGGATTTATAAATTATTTAATAAATTATTATTAGAATTTATATTAAATGTTCATTAATTTACAAGTGAAGTTAAATATAGGAAATAAAATTTTCTAAATATAAATCATGGCGGGATTTAATTTTTATTTAATTCTCCATGATTAATTATACTCCCTGAAATTTTCTCAGATTTTTCGGAGCTCAATTCCTAATTTTAATAATATAAAGAACATTTCAGTAATTATCCACATATTAAATTAATCATTAAATGGTCTTATTATAATCTTGTTAAGTACTTTGGGTGTCCAAGTATTTTCAGGATTTTTCTTGAAATTATTTGAGCATTGGAAGTATTTTTAACAATTCAAAGATCATTTCAGTGATTAATTTAATTGGAAAAGTAATTAAAATCCCTTTTTCCTTTTCAGGCTGAAACTGGAAAAGTTCACCTTTAGTCCTCGGCTCATTCTCCCTTCCTTTCGGCTGGCCTGATCCCTCCTCCAAAGTCCATTTTTGGTCCCTCCTTCAATCCGGCCTAGTAAAGGAAGCTCACAGAGAAAGTCTACCTTACGTCCCTAGTACTGTTCATCTTCAACCCCTGGCTGCCAAACTGAGACCGAGTTGGCTCGGTTTTTCTCCTCCGAATCCGGCCTTATCTCTCGTGCATTCCTAAAATTAGTTGAGGGGAAATATTCCTCTTATCCTCCTCTATCTCTTCCACCAAAAATCCGACTTTATCCCTTTGAATTCGACGCGAATTTGGATTCGTTTTCGAGTTTATCTCTCCACCAAACCCTAGGTTTTCCCGGCGCGATTCTTTGCGTTCCAAGCCTGATCTCTCTCTCCCGTGGCTATAAATAGTGTCCCCTCCCTCTCCTCTTTCGGCCGCCACCTCTCCCTCTCTCCACCGTCGCTTGTAGCGCCGTCGCCGCGTTCGTCTTCTCTCTCCGCCGCCGGCAGCCGCTCCAGCCGCCGTTTGCCGCCGCCTCAGCCGACGCCCTCCTGTGCCACCACATCTCTCGGCTCCGCAAGGTCAAGAGCAAGCCCAGCAGCTGGTTCCCTTGCGCCGAAGACCCCGGGAAGCCCGTCGTCGCCATCAACCCGAAGTCCATTGGATTCGCAGCTGCGAAGTGAAGCCCGGCCACCCTTCCATTGTCGCCGAAGGTCGCCGAAACGCCGTCGCCACCGTGGACAGTACCTCGTCGCCTTTTGGAGCTTGTCGCCGGCCATCTCCCGTCGCTGTTTCTCGTTGCCGCCACCACAGGTGAGTTCGCTGTGTCCTCCTATTCCTTCCTGTGCCCTTTGTTTCCGTTGGAGCATCACCGTTGGTCGTCGCCGCTGTTGTCCAGAGTCGCCGGCCGTCTTCCGTCGCTGTCCGTCATCACGTAAGGGTTGGTAAGAATCGCCGTCGCCTCCTCTACCTCCCGGTGCCCTCTGTTTGCATTATTGTGTCGTGGTTCGCCGGCAACCGCCGCTCTTATGTCGTTCACCGGTGTAGTTTATCCCTAGGGTCTTAATCCAATATAATCTAATCCGTGGTTGGTCTAGCGTTGTCATCTCCGTGTGTTGCTGCTGGAACGTTGTCATCATCCCTTCGTCTCCGATCACTTTGGTTCGGTGAGACTTCTATCCGTTCTCTCTTTTCAATGGCATATTATTTCTTTTTACTATATGTCATCTACCAAATATAATCTAATCTTTTTCAAAGGTTGTTTTAATCTTTTCTCTCAGTTATAAATCATTTGTAAATGGTTTAATTAATTTGGAATAGTATTTTCTTTAATAGGTTTAATTGGAATTCATCTAAAATTATCTAAAATCATGATCTACATGTTTGTTTACTTTTATGTACTGTTTATTTGGTTTTTATTAGTCTTTTTTCCCATTTTGCGTGTTAGCTTGTTGTTTCCGTCGTTGCGAAAGGTTCGCGAGTGCGTCGGAAGTGGTTCTGAAGACTAATTGAAGACCGATTATTGCAAGGCAAGTCACACAGATCCTAAACACAGTTCCTTTGAGCATGTTGATCCTATATTTAAATTCTCTATTTATTTCAACTGTGTATTTATTTCAACTGTGAACATATTCCTTTGTAATGGCCAATTCGCATTGATTACTCTATTCCTTGTTACCTTGGGTAATAAATTGATTAGCTTGAACCTTATATATTGGTTTGGTTCAGCTAAAAGCTATATATATATATATATATATATATATATATATATATATATATATATATATATATATATATATAATTGCTTAGCCATGCCTAGAAACATTAGCTCATTAATGGGATGAATCATACTACATTATTATTTATGGTTATATTTAATGGTAGCTCATGATGGTTAATCGTGTTATGATAATTAATTGATAATTAAAACTTGGCAAAGGGCGGTTGTGAGCACATGGTTTTGAAGGTCGTGCTCATAACAATTAAGGACCGGTTCGCGAGCTACTGTTATGAGACATTAACCGTGCCAACCACAAGCCAGCGTGGGCAACGGCTTTACCTTTTGTATAGCATGATTCATTGCGGGGCACCAGACTGAGAAGCGGCGAGAAGTCCGTGGGGGTCGCTGGGGAGTCCATGCCTCTGGTTATTGAGGGGGTGATTATGATCCAGGAATGGTGCACTGTGATGAGTTGTTGTGCGAAGGGTACTGTCACAATTCCGTTTCGAGGTACCGTGGTGGTACTGAGAGCATGGTGACATGTTTTGGGGCTGTATCTTGTGGGTACAATGGTACACCTCTGGCCAGAGTAAAACTATTCGAATAGCCGTGCCCGCGGTCATGGGCGGGTTGAGCAATGTTTTTCGTGATTAGTCTCACACCTCTCACAATAATTATTGATGCTATAATTGGTAATAATTTGTTTAGCTCCTGGTTTGGAGTTAGATCTGTACAACTGGATATGGTTGTTCAGAATGGTTGGGCCTGAGCAGCATGGGTGTGCTGTTCAGTGTTGATTAAAATTGATTAATTACTCTATTGTTTTACATTCTCAATATTTTTGCTAAATGCTGCTTTTGCAAATGAGCCTATATTATGCCATCCTTTGGTATCCTTGTGCACATATTTACTGTGCGGCTTGCGGAGTATGTCATATGCTCACCTTGCAATAATCAATCAACCTTAGTTGAAGAAAAATGATCCAGAAGAATAAGACGTTTGGCTTATACCCCAGTTGAGCTGCCTGTGTGAGTGGAGCTGAAGCCATCGCTAGACCGTTAATTCCGCTGTTGTTTTCATTTCTTTTATAAGTATGTAACGATATTATTATGATGGATTTGTATATTAAATTGTCAGTTTGTGTACCTCGGCTGATTCCTGGACGAGAGTTTTATGCACAAATAAGTTTGGAAATTACTAGTGAATTTCCGGGCGTGACACGCTATGACAAGACAAAGGTGCCGGTTTTTGGTCTAGAACCGGCACCTTTTGTTCCAATAGTGCTTTTTATGCTCCACACAAAGATGCCGGTTGGGAAGACAAAGGTACCGGTTTTTGGTCTAGAACCGGTACATTTGTTCCAATAGTGCTTTTCATGCCCAACACAAAGATGCCGGTTAGGAAGACAAAGGTGCCGGTTTTGGGTCTAAACCGACACCTTTGTTCCGACAATAGTACTTATACTCCATCCCATGCCACTCGAGCTGATTGAGCAAGAAGAGAGCGGCACCTCTCGTTCTTGCCCGATCAGCTAGAGGAGGGGAGGAGGTTTTGCTCTTTTTTTTTTTGTGTTTGGTTAAAGATTGAAGCCTAAAGGTAAATATTCATTATGAATGCGAATTATATGCAAATGTCTAGAATTTACACTTACAAGCAAATGTCTAGAATTTACACTTACAATTTTTTGGACTTACGAATTTGACTTGTGAATTTCTGAGATGTTGTAGAGCTCAAGCGATTTAGTCAAGTCTCCTGGGATGTGTAACACATCTGGTCATCGCCTTCGTGTGGTTTGACGGGCACGTCTCAGGCTGAAGTTGACTGGTGCGCTGAGTCTCAGCAATATCTCATTTGCTCTTTACTCGAGGATATGAATGTGAATTATATGCAAATGTCTAGAATTTACACTTACAATTGTCTGGACTTTTGAATTTTAGACTTGTGAATTTCTCACCTAAGGATATATGTGCAAATTAATGTTCACAATTTAGGCCGAGTTCGTTAGGACTGGTTGGGAACAAGTATCCTATGCACGGAAAATAGAGCGGTCTATTAGCGCATGATTACTTAAGTATTAACTATTTTTTTCTTCAAAAATAGATCAATATGACTTCTTTAAGTTACTTCCGTATAGAAACTTTTTACAAAAAAAATGTATCGTTTAACCGTTTGAAAAACGTGTGCATGGAACACGAGAGATAGGAGTTGGGAAAACTTGCTGCCGGACACAGCCTTAGACTTAAGAATTTTTGGACTTAAAAATTTTAGACTTACAATCTTTTGACTTAGGAATTTTAAACTAGGCACATTTTGAGTTAGTTTATATATGCAAATGTTTAGGATTTAAAGATAAGAATTTTTTGACTTACGAATTTTGACTTAGGCTAGTAGGTTTTTATATGTTATGAACTTGTGATGAATGGCTTGTAGGTTTTTATTTGTTGTGATGAATGTGAATGTGAATGAATGTGCTGTATGGATGTGGGGCTCTAGGGATGAATTTGGGTTTATATGGAATTGGGGTTGTGTGGATGAATTTACTGCAATTTTTTTTGACCCAATAAATAGGTGCCGGCTTTAAACTAAAAACCGGCACCTATTTTAACAGCCACGTGGCAATTTGGCTTAGAATTTGTGATGCATGTTTGTCTATTATTGTAAATAACTTTCAGTGATTAATATATTTGCTAGGAAGTTGTAAGTTATATATAGTCTTTCAGAAACACTACATACTGAAAAGAGAACGAACGTAATGATTATTGAAAAACTGATTTAGCTAAGGAACACTCCTGTTACTGCTCATGATAGAAGTACTTGATCACATATGGGTATAACATGCAAAGAGCCATAGCATATACTTATTGGGATGGTAGCATGTAAAAGTGCCAACCCTTTCTACGGTGACTACTGAAGCTAGCTAGTTATAATTAGTTATCACCAATCAATGCATCCTGATTGAGGATAGAAAAAATTAAACATCGATTAACTTGCTTGTAGCTACTGGCCAAGTGAGTAAGTGTATTCCATTTTCCATGTAACTCTGTCCACAGCAACAATGAGCATGCATGCGAACCGAACAAAATCTGCATTTTCAGTACAACACAAATGTTAATGAGAGGAAAAACTCGAAGGAATGAATTAATTGTGTTATGCACAAAAAAATAGGAAGCTGAACCTTGAAATTATAGCTGCAAAAAAAAATGCCCCCTATTACTTATCGCATTTGCCCTGTTCAAAAGTATCAGTTATTCCATAAGTACGAGCCTTGAAATAATGGCTTTGTTTCATAATACCTTTTTGTTTAAGTAGTTCTAGGAACAGAAATCGAAACGGGTGATTAGCATATGATTAATTAAGTATTAACTATAATATATTTTATTTACGAAACATATCATTTAGAAATTCGAAAAGCGTGATCAAATTAAATGATAAAGTCACCAAGTCCAACCGTAGTATAGAGCACAGAGTTAGCTAGTATGACCAGACATTGAGAGGCAATAGATATATTGAGCCCAGTGAATAACTCCAACAGAAATATAAAGTAGCCAAGCAAATGATCCTCTAAATGTACAAATCATAACAAATATGTTAGATTAGCATAAAGTTCTAAAAGGCTGCAGCAAAATGGGGATTTGAAAAGAGAAATGGGACTGACACAATCCAAGTGAGGAGGTTTCATTCTCTAACAACCATATACAATGAGTTGCTTTATGATGGAGAGTATCAGTCGAACCATGATCTAATTGATTTAAAAATAAAATGGAAACACATTTCATGATAAGACCAACTGTAGAATATACTCTCAAAATTTAGAATTGAAAGAGCTCCCCTAAAAAATAGTTAGAAAGAGTTTGTCCCTCTTCATGTCATTTTAAAAGAAAAATGTAATTGTCATTATTTTAAGTCGAACTAACTTTCTTTTAATTATGATTTTAGATTTGTGTAGCAACCACCTGAAATGATGGCGATTGCACTGGTTATGCTAGGATTTCTACTATTATCTGGATATGTCACGGGATTATCCAATTATCTTTAGATTCATTGTGAAGGCAAAAACTACACACCAGACAATATATACAAGCGAAACATGCAATTTTTATCAATGACACTGCCACTTAAGGTCTCATCTATCCTAGATTTGTTTGCAATGATCATGGCCAATAGCACAAAAGAGGAGATATAAGCAGTTGGATGGTGTCGTGCTGATATTAGTAGTACTACAGACAATAGTTGTGTTATGTATGCAATACGGAACGTGCAAATAGTTTGAGCTTCAAAGATGGAAGCTACCATCTTTTACGACTTGTGTGGGCTTAGAATTTCTTGTCACACTATTCATTTCAATATTTCTAAAAATATAGACAAGATAGCAATACTTTGCGACCCATTTTCCTTTTAGAACCCATAATATAACTATATTGTTCTATTACTTATTTTTGCCTTGACAAGTAAGGCAACTAACTTGTCTATAAAGTTTGTCACATGAAGGAAAAATCTCATAGCAAATGGCTACAACTACACCATATATGGCCTTGCTGAGTGCTCATCTGAGGTCACAAGTTTTGAATGCCAGATTTGTTTTGAGGATCTTAACCAGGCCATAAGGGAAAAGGTGGAAGAACGTCAACAATTTGGTATAATTTTTCATGACAATCGGGCTAAATGCTTGTGCGGATTAGAGTATACTCAGTGGGGGGCCTTGGCCCTCTACATCGCGTGGGGGCAAATGCCCCTATCATTTTTATGTATACATTAACCTATTCTAACTAAGTTGTAGACTGTCGACC